TGAGGTGAGGTGAGGTGAGGTGAGGTCTCGATCGCTCGTCCGCTCTCGAGCCAGCGGCGTGCAGTGCGGCGGTGTGGTCTTTCCAGACCTTCCGACCCATCCATCGCCTTCGTCTGGGTCCAATCTTGAATCGTGAATCGCAGGTCTTGCTCTCCACATTCCAGCACATCCATCCTCTGGACCTTCGGCTACGGCGACGACAGCATCCACATAGCTCGTAGAATCTCACTTTGCCTCGTCTCTCTGGTCGATCGTCAGTCATGTACGGCCAGCAGTATGGTGGCCAGCCCGGCCAGGGCTACATGCAAGCCCAGCCGACTGGTTATCCAGGACAGCAATTCCAAAGACCAATGGCGACTGGTATGCCACCTCAACAGGGCCAACAGCAGCAACAGCAACAGTTCATGCAGCCTCAAGCCACTGGCATGATGGGCATGGGCATGGGTACGGGTATGGGCATGGGAGGTCCAGGAATGGCTCAGCAACGCATGGGTGGACCTGGCGGATCCAACATGTTGGGTCCAGGTGGTAGTGGTATGCTGGGAGTTCCACAACCCAATCGCTTCCTCTCGCCTTCGCCTGGCTTGCAACCTCAAGCAACTGGCATGAACATGGGCATGGGCATGGGTCCGAGACCAGGAATGGGTGGCTTACAACCCCAAATGACTGGTTATCCTGGTGCTGGAGGGATGCTACCTCAAATGACTGGGATGATGCAACCACAAATGACTGGGCTACCCATGGACCCTCGCATGCAACTCATGAGCCAGCAATTCTTGCCCGCTGCTCAACCTTATAGCGGCGGAGCTCCACTGGTCCAGAACATGAATTTCAGCAACGCCTCCATGCAGCCTTCCAACTTCCAGTCCAGCATTCAGAACCTTTCTCAACAGCAAGCAGGTACCAGAGAACCTCGAATCCCTTGGGCTTTGAGCAAAGAGGAACGCAAATCGTACGATGCAATCTTCAGAGCTTGGGATCAGCAGGCTACTGGCTTCTTGTCCAGCGATGTGGCCCGTGAAGTCTTCGAGCAGAGCGGTCTGGACCGGGATCGCCTGATGCAAATTTGGCACCTTAGCGACACTGAGAACAGGGGCAAGCTCAACCTGGCCGAGTTCCATGTCGCAATGGGTCTAGTGTATCGCGGTGAGTACAATACCGAGGCGAGTTTGAGCCGCGAAGATTCGACTGATGTAGACTCTCCTCTCTCTAGCACTCAATGGTAACGACATTCCAAACGAGCTACCGCCCGAGCTCATTCCCCCATCCTCCAAAGACCTCAACGAGAGTGTCGACTTCTTGAAAGATCTCTTGAAGCGCGACACAAACGTTCGCAACACTACCGGACTCAACATTCCGGAAGCTGGCAGCAATGCCACGACGGCCTACGGCAAGACGAGGTCATTCCACGAGAATCCCGTTGCGCCTGGTGCGGGTGGTGTGCCAAAGAAGGACGCCACCGCATTCAAAAATGACGACACTACAGCTTCAGGCTACAAGTCTAGCTCGCGTCATTTGGACCGCCGAGCCGTCAGGTACGAAGGTCAGAGCGCTCACGACGAGCTTAGCGAGATGAAGCGTCAGACCCAGCGCATGCTGGATAACGACGATTCTCGTGACGATGAGGATGAGACGGAGACTCGCGAACTCGAGCGAGAGATGGAAGAATTGCGCTTCCGTATTCGTCGAGTTCAGGACGACATCGAGTATTACAAGAAGCGTCCGGGCAGAGAAGCCAACGAGTCTCGTCGCAAAGCCGAGCGCGAGCTCCTGCACCTGCATCATGAACGGCTTCCTCAGCTGGAGAAGCGCTTGGAAGCGAAGGAAGACCGCAAGCGTGACCGTCGTCTCAACGAGAGCAGAGCTCGAGATCGGCGCAATGAAGGTACGTATGGTCGAGGATCCGACTATCGCGACAGCGCCCGAAGCAGCCCCAGGCCAGACTCCAGAAACGACTCCTACTCTCGAAGTCGATATGACGACGAACGTGCGGATCGCGACGACTATGGCAGGCGCGACAAGGACAGGTATGATGACCGCGATGATCGGTACGGACGCGATCGCGACGACCGCTACCGCAACTCTCGACCGTCTTCCGCCGCTGCTTCTCCTGCTGTGGAGCGTGCGCCTTTGCCACCTCCCGTGCCTGCCGCACCAGCAAGCGCTGCAGCTCCACCGCCGCCTCCCCCTCCCGCCGCTGTCGCGTCGCCTGCACCATCCGGTCCTCCCAAATTCGCCACTCCAGAAGAGAGACAAGCGTGGGTCCGTTCTCAGGCTCAAGCTCGCATCGAAGCGCGCATGCGTGCTCTTGGCGCAGTTGCACCGTCAAGCTCGGGTCCAGACACGTCAGTAGAGGCAAGGCTCGCTGCTGACAAGGCTGAAGCTGAGGCACGCAGTGCTCAGGCTGATGCTGAGGCTCTAGCGAGGGAAGAGGCGTGCAAAGCTAGACTGGAAGAGCAGCGGCTGGAACGGGAAAAGCAAGCTCTTGCTGCTGTGAAAGCGGAGACTCAAGCGCAAGAGAGCTCTTCGGCCCCTCCACCTGCTCCTGTGACGCAAGCGCTGAAGAAGGAGATCGACGATCAAGAGGAGATGATCAAGCGTCGCGAAGAGGTGCTAAAGAAGGAGAAGGCCGAGCGTCTGGCTCGTTTGGCAAAGCTGGAGGAGGAGGAAGCAGAAGCTAAGAAACAAGAAGAAGCTTTCAAGCAGAAGCAGAACTTGTTCAAACAGCCATCCTCTGCGTCACAGTTGCCCGCGCCTAGCCGCAAAAAGGGAGGACCTCCCCCTCCTCCGCCTACTCGCAAGGGCGCACCTCTTCCCCCGCCCACTGCACCCTCCGCACCAGCAGCTGCTGCTCCGCCTCCTCCACCTCCTGCGGTCGCTGTCGCCCCACCAGCCCCACCTGCTCCTCCCGCCGCATCTGCTTCTCCTAGTCAGTCGCCTGCGGGCGCGACGAGCAACAACCCCTTCCACCGAATGCAGCCCGGCACGGCAACGACGCCAGGCGCGGGAGCGCCCAGCGGCAACCCGTGGGCTGCAGCAGGTGCAGCTGTCTCGAACGGTCTGCCGGCACCTTCAAGGCAAAATGTCCCCGCTGCTCCTCCCGCTCCTCCCGCTGCATCGGCCGCTCCTGCAGCTGTGCCTCGCAAAGCACCGACGCATGACGATGATTGGGGAGACTCCGACAAGGAGGAGGAAGAGGAAGCTGATGCGCCTGGATCGAGCTCGAGAGCCACGCGTCAGAATCTTGCTGCTGCGCTCTTTAGCGGATTGGTCCCGCAGGCTACTGGCAGGGCTACACCGCCAGCGGCACCTCCTGCTCCTCCTGCACCCGCTGCTCCAACTGCACCTACTGCCCCTGCGCCTCCAGCAAGTGGTCCTCCAGTGTTCGGTGCCCCTGCTCCACCCGCTCCGCCTCCTTCTGCTCCCGCGCAGCCCTTCGTGGCTCCTGCAGGTGACGCTGACAGAGGAGCGCTCCTCGGTCAAATTCAAGGTGGTCTCAAGCTGCGCAAAGCTGTCACTGTTGATCGATCAGGAGCACCTGGTGCTGGAGCAGTCATCGGGGACGCCAGCGCGCCTGTGCAGAAGTACGTTCCTCCTCCCTCCCCGCCTGCGGTAGCTGAACCGCTCGCCGCACCAATCGCACCACCTGCGGTTGGTAATCCTAACAGGCAGTCCGTCGACTGGGCCAATAACCTCGCTGCGGACCAGATGAATGGTCATCATCCCAGCGCGGTTCCGGACGAACCTTCTGTCGCCGAGGACCCCGAGGACAGCGGTGACGATGAAGGACCGGAGGATGCAGAAGCTGTCCAGAGTCCGTCTGGTGTAGTGGCGCCGGACTCAACCATGGCTGCCGCTTCTGAAGTCATTGGGACAGCGGCTGATCCGGAAGACGCGACTGCAGACTTCGATCTCACGCAGACTCTTCGTTGCCGAGCGCTGTACGCCTATGCGGCTCAGCGAGAGGAGGATGTGTCCTTCGAGGAGAATGACGTCGTGCTTGGCCATCCTGCAAAGGACGCCGGAGGCGATTGGTGGTACGGAAGCATACTCACCGGTGCAAAGGGCGTGAAGGGCACCTTCCCAAGGGCTTACGTACAGACCATTCAGCGTGAGTAGACGAGGCTGCCTTTGAGTCCATCACTGTTTCAGGTTGCTGACCCCTCGCGCTGGCTGCTGCAGCGACACACGCGACCGCTGTGTACGACTTTGCGGGCTCTTCTCCCGAAGAAGCAAGCTTCACGACGGGTCAAGAGGTGATCGTGGTGGATCAGGAAGATGCCGATTGGTGGAAGGTAGACCAAGGAGATCGGATCTTGCTTGCTCCCGCCTCTTACTTGAGCCTCAGTGGTTAGTGTTTCACTGCTCTCGCTTGATGGGCTTTGGCAAGCTGTGCTTGCATGGCACGCTGCTGCAACAACGTGCTTGTTGGTCCGTCGCTCCACTGCTCTCCTGTCCCCTTCTGTACCTCTGTTCATTCCGCCCGCTAGGGGGTTAGGTGTTTGCATAGCTCCACAGCGTGTTGGGGGGGCCAGGAGGACGAAGGGGAAGGGGGAAGGACTTTCATTTCCACCATGCGTTGTTCTGACTGGAAGGCAGGGAGTGGTCCAGTCGAGCAGGCAGGAAGGAAAGAACGGGGTGATCATCATTGCAATCGTGTCTTTGTGCTCTTTGCTTTGGCGGCCGCCCCCTCTTCCTTCCTGCCCTATTGGCGAGTCTGGACTTTCCTCCCGTGCGCTCCTGGTCATTACGGCGCGGAGAAAGGAGTTCCTTCGTCTCCCCTTATTGTCCTCCTTGCCGCCCTTTGCGCTGACCGGTCCACTCCTTTCCCCCTTCTCCCTCTCCATCTCTTGCACATGACTCGAAATACAAACTGACGCGCCGGATGCATTCCTGAAACTCTTTGAATTGGTCTCTTCGCGACATGACAGCGGGAGCAAGTGAGCACGCTCGTGCTGACCAGCTTGATGCCAGCAGCCAAGCATCTACTTCTGCTAGCGGCGCTTCGACACTACGAGCTGTGGCTGCTTCACCTGGTGAGAGTAGCAACGGCGCTTCTCCTTTGATGGCTGCCTTGCCGCAGCGCGCTACTCAGCCTCACGCCGGTGCGGGCCACCTTCAGACCTCGCAGCCTGCTTTTGACCCGAGGCTGCCCGTGACTGGGGAGGTCATGTCGGCGTCCGAAGCGGGACTGCAAGGCATTCGGAGCCCTCGTGTTGCTCAGTCAGATAACGCAGTCTCTGCCGCTTGGCAAAGATCTGCGCCGTCCGGCGAAATGAAAACGGGACTTGCGCCACCGCTAGACGATCGATCGGCGGAGTTGCGTTTCGAGTCGCCGCGAGCGGGACAAGAGCGGAAGCGCGCAGATGTTGAAACCGTAGCCAATCGGACTCCAGAGATAAGCGATGGCGATGTGCAAGACGTCGCAAGCTTGCCAGCTGCGATTGGAGCTTCTGATCAGGTTCTGGCGGATGCAGATGCAGATGCTGATGAGCTTCAACGAGCTGTAGCTGCTTCACAGAAAGACGAGCGTCTGATGAGAGTAGCTAGGGCGCGAGAGTAAGTCCGAATCCGAAGATGGCCAAGCGAGCATTCACGAAACTTCAGGACGACTGACCCGCTTCTTCGTCACAATCCGAGCAGACAAAAAGATCTGAATCGTGCTCTTGAGCTTTCGCGTGACGAAGCCTTGGAAGTCCAAAATGCCTCGAACTTGTCTGCTGCAACGCTCTCGAATATTGTCATCCATGACGAGACGATTGGAGTTGAGGGCGACTCGGACGAGTCGACGACGGGATGGACTTCGAGTGAAGAAGAGGATGATGATGACGACGAAGCTGAGACGGACGAAATGCGCACACGTAGAGTAAAGGAGAGGCTCAGACTGCTCGAAGCTGCTGGGGTCTTGATACGAAATGGCGAGGCGGCCTCGCCGGTCCATTCGAAGGACGCCGCGGATCTGCCGCCTGATCTGCACGAAGCCACGACAGAAGAAGGGGTGCCAGATCTGATGGTACGAAGACGCACTACGGTCCGGCGCAAGTCGAAGGGCGAATCTGACTCGCTGGGTCCCACCGTGAAGCAGCGCCGCAGCAAGAACACTCTTCGCGCGCGACGACCCGATAGACCACTCCCTCAAGTCCCCGCCGTTGAGCCAGAAAAACGTATGGATGATGCATTCGATCAGTATCAAAAGATGGCCGCCGAGGTCTCTTTGCAGCAATCAGCCCCTCCGGCTACTAGTAGTGCAACGCCAAAGCGTCACAAGAGAACGAGCTCGGCCATTCAGGCTCTCTCTACGTCGTCTCCGCCGGGCTCTCCGCCTCCAACTGGCTCGCCAACACCGGAAGGCAAATCGTCCGGTCTTTTCAGCAGTCTCAAAGCTAGCATGACGTCGCGCAAAGCTGCTCCTGGCCCTGTCCCCAGTCGCACGACCGAAATGATTTCTGGTCCCATGCGTCTAGACTCTCCGTCGCTTGGAGGGCCTAGCGGTTCTGCTAGTGATGCTGCCTCTCTCGCTAGCAGCGCACAGTCTGTCGGAACTGTCCCTACCACGTCGCTCACCGGATGGGCCTCTGGTATTCCTGCAGAGGTAGTAGCCTCCTTGGACGGCGTTGAGCGCAAACGTCAAGAAGCGATCCACGAGCTGATTGCTACCGAAAGCACTCACGTTCGCGACTTGCAGATCATCGTTGAGGTGAGCACAAAGCGTCTGATATCGTAAGTGAGCATGCTGACGTAGCTCTTATGCCTTGCCAGGTCTTCTTCAACACAATGCACGCATCCGGTCTACTCAGTGCTAAGGCTACCACCGTCATCTTCGCCAACGTCGAAGAAGTGCTTCTGGTGGCAGTATCACTCCTCTCTGATCTCGAGTCTCGCCAAAGCCAAGAGTTAATCGTCAGCGGCTTGGGGGACATTCTCGCGAAGCACATCGCAGCGATGCGAGTATATTTGCCGTATTGCGTCAATCAAACGCCCGCAGCGCAGATCCTGCAAGCCGAGAGGGACCGTAATGCCGTTCTGGAAGCTCAGCTGCAGACCATTCGGCGCGAGGATCCCGCTGCACGAGGACTCGATCTGTCCAGCTTTCTCCTGATTCCCATGCAGCGACTCACTCGTTATCCTTTGTTGATCTCGCAAATCATCAGATACAGTGATCAAGCCGCCATCGATGCAGCAGAGAAGGACAGCTTGCATGAGTCGCTACGCGTTGCCGAATCCATACTGGCTTCGACAAACGAAGCGATACGAACGCGCGAGACTAGAGATCGTCTGGCAGCGATTAGCGAGTATCTTTGGGTCGGAAATGCTGCTAGGCTGGACCTCACCAAGGATACGAGAGTCATGGGACCGCGCCAAATTTTAAGGGAAGAGGTGCTCTCGAAGCACAAGTCCGGTCGCAAGTTGACGACGCTTCTCACTTCGGATCTCTTGATTCTCTTGCAAGAAGGCAAAGAAGATGCCGCTGGCAACCGACGACCACAGCTGTATCGCATGCCGATTCCTCTCGAAGAGATCGTTGTGAGAGACGTTCCTTCCCGGCTGACTGGGGCACGCGACGAGTCTGCCTTCCAGGTGATCGTCGGTGGCTCCGACAAAATCAATCTCCGAACCTCTTCACCAAGATCGGCGCATGCTTGGATGGCCGCCATCAACCACGCGAGAAGCGCGTGTCTTCAGGCCGCACTAAATGCACCGAGATCCGGCCACCATCGCACGCACAGTCAAGGCATTTCGCTGTACTAATGTTCGGTTTTCAATCATGAATGCGACATCACCTTGAGCAGGCCATCAGCGCTGTATATAGTGCGATGTAAGAGAGCAATGGTGCATTTTGGCAGTGTTGCATTCACAGGTATATCTAGAACTGATAAAGTGTAGTGATGGTGGCGGCGCCGCGCTGCTAGACGCGCTTCCGCCACTTTGCCACCAGACTGGCAAGCGATTAGAGTGGCGATAAGGACTCACCATTCGTGCTCGCTTCCACAGCGGAATGATGTATAAACAGGTGAAAAGGTCTGCTTTCTCTGGTCCCCAAACACCGGTGTCCTCGATTGCTGCGCTTCGCACTGTCTCTCATCAACCGTCTGCTGGGCAGACTCTGGCGTAAGCACCATCCTCTCCTCAGTGGCATCTCCATCGTCGAACGTGCCGCACTTGAAACATCTTTAGCTACTGGTCCATTCGAGATGCGGGCCTCAAGCCACTTGCTGATGGGGGCGTTGCTTTTGAGCAGCTGGCTCGCGCATCCTTCCGTGGCGGAACTTCTGGCTAAGTCGACGCAAAGGAAAGGGGTTTACGAGGTGAGTGCTAACATTACCTTAAACCTCGCTGCCTCGACTTGGTCAGCGAAGCTGACGTCGGCAACTTCAGCTCCACTCTCGGAGATCGTCTAGGTCAGACCTCGACACGGCTCGACGTGGCAAGCGGTACGAAGTGAAGCGCAGCCGCCTTGGAGCTCGGCTAGAAAAGCGCTTGATTGCGGGTTCGAAAGCGGCTGCAGAGGCAAGCGGAAGTCGAGCTCATCTATTGAATCCGACTCCAAATCTCGAGCTGCCTGACGACGCAAGAGCTCTGGCAACCTCAACACTGACAGATACTACAGCTACAGATTCCCTGCCGCATCGAGGAGCAGATTCGGTGCCCCGCTTCACGTTGGGACCGTTCCCTGGTCACATGGGGCTTCCGAAACATCAGACCAAATCCGCCACGGTCAGACACAAGAGACCTTGGCACGTTGGACTGGGAGCTTTGGATGCTGGTGGAGCAGGAAAACTTCATAAGCCGGGTTTGAGCGAAACGACGCCACATAGCGCTGGTCCCGACAATTCAGCCGAGGCCAATGCCGAGAGAACAGCAGGGGAAGCCTCTGGTACGAGCCGCAGTCCCGCAACAGACGCCCGCAATACGGCTGGCAAGCGACCCGGCTGGCGGTATGTGCGCAACGGACCTCAAATTCTAGACCTCAACGAAATGCCAGGAAAAAGCATTGTGAGATAGCAGTCATGCAGGAATCAGGTCCTTTCGCCAGCGAGCGCTCACTGTCGCATTCCCGACGCTCCTCAGAAACGCACGGTTGACGGCTTGACCATCGATATGGGTAGGGTCCACGACGTCGTCCACGCAAACGCGTTGGAGAAGTCCATGCATCACTTCCGGCACCAGATTCCAGATATGGATCATTTCAGGGTGAGTCGCTGGCCCTCTTCTTCTCTCCCTCATGCTTGGCTAACCCCAAATCGACCATGTCTCGCTTTGCGAAGGTGGAGCGAGGTTTGCTCCACGACAAGCAAGGTTGGGCCTTCCTGGGCTACGCCAAGAGTCGAAGCCACCTCATCAGAAGCGAAACGGGATATGCCTACTACCGAGTTCCTCTTGCCCCTGATCTCGCTTGGCCTCCCGGCTCAAACCATATTCACAATCCCCCTGATGCCAAGGTGACCGGTGCGGTTCCGCGACAAGTGACGGGTCATGCAGCTGTGCGTAACATGCCCAAACACCCTCCGATCGATAGCTTTGCAGCTCTGCAAGAGATGGCAACGGTCGCGAAATTGAAGGGGAAGGGCACGATACGTAAGCCTAGCTCGCTGCCGACTACGTAGCGAGTCCACGATGGATGCGGGGAAGCAGATGAAGGGCGAGGGCCCTTCGAAACATATCAGCATTCTCAGGCAACATAGTGCACAGACTTCCATGCTCAAGTTGATTGACGTACTCACGATTGTCATCTGCGGATGTACGTGCTACTTTATGGTAGCTTGGCTTCCCATACATATCCTTGGCTCTCCACACAAATTCATGGATTCGGCCTAGGAGTTGGCACATTAGCGGCAGGGCGAGGATTCTGCTGCGGCGGCCTCGGTTGGGCAGCTCCAGAGGCAGGCCTTGCTGCTTGCTTGGAACCAGGTCTCACGGCTTGTCCACCTGATGCAGGCTTAGAAGCGTTTTGCGGTGGTCTTTGAGGTCGAGGCACACCCGTATTGGCCTGAGAATTGCCAGGCCCCGATGGTCTGACCTGCTGTCCCTGCTGAACTGGTCGCTGCACCCCGCCACCAGGTCGCACTTGCTGTGGTGGCCGCTGCCCGGTTTGCGCATTGGCTGGCGCCAGTTGCGCCGGTTGCTGAGCCTGTTGCTGAGGTTGCGACTGCCCCTGCATCTGCATCGGGGCTTGCTGTTGTTGTTGCTGCTGCGTTTGCTGCTGCGGCTGCGGCTGCTGAGGCAGTTGTCCTTGACCCAGTTGCTGCTGCTGTTGCTGGAACGAGGCGAGCTGAGCTTGCAGCGCTGCTTGCTGCTGCTGCTGTTGCTGCTGTTGCTGAGCTTGGGATTGTCGCCAGAGCTGCTGAGCGAGATTTTGTATCTGGACAAGCATGAAAACAGCAGGTGTTTAATAAGGGCAGAGGACAATATAAATGCACCGGTGCTACTCGTACTCACCTGCTCCTGCGTGAAGTTCGACGATGAACTTGTCAAGCTCTGTGTCAGGCTGGCCTGCAAAGACGCCAGCTGGCTAGGCAGTGGTTGCGGCGCTTGACCTTGACCGTTGTTGGGTGGTCTACCCGTGGCGGGCGACTGATTACCCGCTGCAGAACCAAAGTGCTGCTGCTGCTGCTGTGGCTGAACAAGTGGTTGACCTTGCATGTTCGGCGGTCGGAATTGAGGCGCGCTCACGTTCTGAGCCAGCGACGTCGCACCACTCATCGGGGTCGCAACGCTGTGTGCGGGTGGTCGCACACTCTGCGGCGTAGAGGGCCGGCCACCAGGCGCTTGTTGCGCTCCCTGCTGTGACTGCTGCTGCTGTTGCTGCATGTGAGCCTGTTGTACCTGCTGTGAGAGGCTGAGACGCTGCTGCTGCTGCGCACGTGCGGCCTGCGTTTGCTGTTGAGGGGTAGCCCGACCATTGGGACTGCCAGCATTGGGTTGCTGTTGCTGCTGCTGGCCTGGCGCCGCAAGCTGAACTTGTTGGGTTGGAGGCTGCGAAGACGGTGGGCCTTGTGACTGTCGAGGAGCTCCACGTGCTTGTTGCTGTTGCTGCGTCTGTTGCTGCTGCTGGACAGCTTGTTGCTGTTGATTGGAGGCTGCCATTGCCGCTTGCTGGGCTTGCAGTCGCTCTCTTTCCCGGTGCTGTTGCATTGCATAGTACTGGCGAAGATTCTGTTCGTCCCTGTCAGCTTTGGCGTTGCTCAGCTCCTGAGGAGTGAGAACTCTGCCAGGCTTAAACTGAGAGTGGGTTTCGTGCATGTTCAAGTTGACTTTGCGCTGAGCCGCTTGGTCTGCCTTGGGCTTCGCGAGGGCGTCGCGCTTTTTAGCACACTTGCGCATGACGTCTCCGATGTTGCCCTGGCGCATCTTCTTTCGCGACCCGTCATACTTCTGTCCCAGCTTCACCTTGATCTTTTCGCGCTTCATCACGAAAGATGTAGAAGAGCCTGGCCCGGACTCGCTGCTCGATGCGCTTATCTCCGCAGATGCGGGTAACACCGGAGTCGGCGGAAGCGTCTTGCCTTCATCAGCAGCCTTCTGCAGCCGCTGCCAGCGATCGTAGCAGTCCCACGCTTCGCGCTTATCCGTTGGTACAGCAAGGCGTGTGGAGTTGAACAAGTCCGAAATCAGCAGCCAATGCGTGCCGTACTGCCGGACGAGCGCTGCAAGATACTCGTCTTCCTCGTTGCTCCACATGAAAAGCGCAGCTCGAGAATCCGCATTGCTGGGTGCCGCTGGAGTTCCGCCAACGTTCGCAACCTCGCGAGAAGCCTTGTTGCTTTTGCGTGCAAATATGAACGAGCCTGGTTGTAACGGGATATCGACAAGTTCCGGAACCACGCCCTTGTTTGGATCTGCAAGTGAGGACGCGATCATCCAATCGCTGTCTTCACGCCATCTGCCCATCGCACGATTTTTCGAGGGTTGCAGGGTAGTGACGAGCAACGGCTTAGAGTCCAGCAATCGACTGACGTGAGTGAGGCGAGGTGGCGCATTAAGACTCCCATCATCCCAGCGACGATCGTTTTTGCCGGACACGTCCGGCTCGGCGGGGGCGTCGTACAGAGGTAGCTCGGGAAACAAGCTCGATACAGTGATCTGATCGATGTCTATGTCAGACGGCAAATCTTCCACTTCCAAGCCCAACGCCGTGGCAGCAACTTGCTTGTCCAGCTCCTGAACGATTGCACTTGCCGAGATCGTGGTTGCGCCCACGTCCAGCGAGAAGACGGGACCGCGTGCCAGAGATGCAAGGTTCGGCGGCAAAGCCTCGGCCAACGTTGTGTCGCGAAGCGCGACGTCACTGCGCACGCCCATGACCCCGTCTGCCTGACTGTTGCTGCTGGCCTGCACAGGTTCTGAAGCGCTGAGGGCGGGCTGAGGTCCTTGAGGGGCCAGCGGCTCCTTGACGAATGTCACCGGAGGCAAATCCGACTTCGAATCGCGCTCGCGATCGAGCTCCAAGGCCAGTGATCGGTCGACGTCGTCTGCCTCAGTATCTGCATCTGCGTCTGCATCCGCCTCTGCGTCATCATCTTCACCTTCTGCATCGGCATCCTCCTCGCCCTCGGCGTCCGCGTCTTCCTCTCGGCGCGCATCAGCAATGGGTCCTTCAACAGAACCCTCCCCAGATCGTCCGAGCCCAGGTTCCGACTTGACCTTGGGTTCCTTGTGGGGCCTGACATCGGTGATCTCCATCTCGACGTCCTGTTCGTCGCGCTCTCGCTTGACCTGCTGCGCTGTATTCTGGACCTCGGTGAACTCAACATCCACAGAGGGCGTCGACAGACGTGCGATAGGACTTCGAGAGATGCACATTGCCTTTCTAGCAGCAGGTGTCCTCGCCTGATGCCACGCCTTGACTGCGTGAGCCAAATGAAAAGCAACTGCAGTCTTCCAGCGCCTCTCTTCCCGAAAGTCCGTCTGCATCCAGCGCATCTCTTCTAGCAAGTGATCCCAGTGCGCTTTGCGAATGTGCGGTCCTTTCTGCTTCTTCGGTTGGCGGAAGCTCCACTCGCCGCGCGTCTTGAGCTTCTCGATGCGCGTCATTGCGCGAATGAAGCGCTGCTCTGAAAATGCGGCGCGCCAGTCCGTCGTCATCAAGCACTTGTCCGCTTTTCCCACCAGCCCAGCACACGGGCTCGCTCTCGCTCGCACCGCCCATTGCCACAGGTCAGCAGGTCCTGCTCCTGCCGGACCAGAGGGTGGAGGCACTCCTTGACGAGTCTGGGGAAGCTGCACCGCCTTCTTGGCACCCTTGTGGTGAATCTGACCTCCCGAAATCCCTTGGCCTGTATATCGTCGGAAAGGATCCGGAGGTAATGGGCGAAGTGAGGAAGCGTAGGTGATGGATAGCGGATTCGGAGCTAGTTGCTGCAAAGTCGGATGCAGTGGCAGCAAGTCTCCCGACAGAGTGTCCTCTTGCATCTGCTCCTCCAGCAGGCCTCGCCCAGCCGCGAGAAGCGCCGCCGCGGAATCTGACTTGGGCGGCGGCTGCGACGGGATCACTGTAGTCTGGGAGCCCAACCCCACGCTTGGCACCGTGATGCTCGTGGATTGCGTGGCATCATCTTCACCACCCTGCGAATTGAGCGATTCAGATGCTTGAGTACCTTGAGTGGCGGAAGTCTGTGCGGTAGCGGTTGTGCTGCCACTCTGAGGTAGTGCACCTGCTCGTGTGGGTGTCGTCGCAGCGCCATGACTGGCCGGGGTGTTTGTGTTGAACGGAAGGACCAGTGTAGAGCCCAGGGGCTCTTTGATAGGCGATGCGGCAATTTTCTTCGGTGAAGGGGGCGGAACCGAAGCGGGAGGGACAAAAGGTGTGCTCTTTGGTTGAGCAGGCTTCTTTGGACTCGCTGATGTCTTCGTGCCGCCAGATGGTGTACGTTGGGGTGTTGCAGTCTGCGCAGAATTTGTCGTCGACGCATTCTCTCTCGTGACACTCTTTTGAGCGCGCGAGGGCTCAAGCTTGACAGGCAGCGAAAGCGAAAGGGGCGCGCTGGGCATGACGGGAAGTTGCAGCTCCATGATGCTCTTGCTACTCTTGTCGAGCTCCCACAGAGCGAGGAAGGATTCGCTGCCACTCTGCATCGGATATTCTGCTGCACTTGGCGGATGAGCGGGAGACCCTTCCTCGTCAAGTCGATTGATTTTCGTCAACATGAAGTGCAGTTCTTGCAGGTCTGCAGCATGCGCTTCCGTGACTTCACTGCAACGATGGTCCGAGGTCGACGAACGTGAGAGATCCAAGCAGCACAGCGTCCTATCCTAGCGCAATCTGAGCTGTACTCACGCGATCTGACGCTGACGCTCTGCAACGTGCTCCGCTCTTAGCTGGTCCAAGGTCACGCGCGAGCTGCTCGCGATAGCAGAAGCTTTATCACGGCTCGGTAAGAGGCCTTCGAGCGTGCTACTGCTGATGGGCGTCATTGCCGCGCTCGTCGAAGCCTCGGACGAGGCTGTCGGAAGATGACTCATCAATCGATGAGTCACGCGAAGGTTCGAAGGGCTGGTTTGAGCTAGGCCGCGGACGTCAGCCCTCTATAGATGTCGGAACAAGCCTTGCCTCGGCCAGACTCCTGATGCCCAGGTGACTGCGAGATTATTTCGGCGACCTGTCGAGGCGTTTAGAGAGAGTGGGCGGATGTAGGCGATGGGTGTGTTGGCACTTGGAGCCGGACCTCACCAAAAGATGCGGAGCATGTGATTTAGTTGAGCGTGAGCGTGAGCGTGAGCGTGAGCGTGAGTTAGAGTCAGAGTGCGTGACTCGTGACTCCGTAGGCGACGACTCGTGACTGAAATCAAGTGCACGCTATGACATTACGCGCCCCACTTTCGTGACCCACGTGGTGACTTGGCGCCGAGCGCGTTTGGACCAGGGATCAAGAAGCATTCTTGATTCAAGATTCAAAATTGCGACTCGACAATCACGTGAATCCTTGGCAATTGCAAGCAGTCGGGTCACAAGCTGACAGTCATGTGAGGCGGTATGTACCTTTGAGTTGCCGCGAAAATGATTTTCCTGTGAGGCATCGGCAAGATATGTATGTGCTGCTTCTGCTGCTGCCAGCGGCGAGTCAGTCACAGTCAGAGTCGTCAAAAGTCAAAAGTGACGCGTGACTCGTTCGCCTGGTGCGTACACGCGGTCTGAGCTCGATGCCTAGGCGTCGCGATTCGAACGCCACGCGTGACTTGACTCACAAGCGGGTGCACAGCTGAGGTGCAGGCTATATGTAGTTCACTCACGACTCGCTGCGTGCTGAGGCTGGCAGCAGTGATTCGCGCGCACCGCCTCGCGCATGGGCCCATGCGGTCGCCATGCATCATCATCAGCAGGTGGCGGCCGGCGCATTCGTGATTTACGATCGACGCCCAAGCACATGCTGCACTCACGACTGTGCTTGCGAAGGTGCCTATCGCGCTTGCATGGAGGTCCGCTTGCGAGGGGAGGCGATGGAGAGAAGCGCATGCACCCTCTCTGATCATCCTCGCCTTCCAACTCCCTTCCAAATCATTCATCACTCACGCTCGCTTGACGCCTCAACCTCTTCACGCGTCGCTCGCTTGCGTATGATCTACCACTTCCGATCCTGCACTTACTCAGCACTCACTTCACACTCCACGCACACACACGGCCCATCATGGTCACTCTTACAACCTCGGACAACGAGCAATTCACAGTGGAGAAGGATGTTGCTGAGCGCTCGGCACTCATCAAGAACATGATGGAGGGTGAGTAGCGCTCGCCACGATGGAGGGGGGATGGGACGTCGTGTAAACGAACGCGACTGCAGAATGCGGCGCCTGGTTCGTTGCCCCTTGGCTGACACGCAAAACGCACATTCCCATGAACAGATATTGAGGGCGATGACATGCCCATCCCCCTCGTCAATGTCTCCGCCAACGTGTTGAAGAAGGTGCGTTCGGGCTTTCGATACGCCATAGCCACGAGGCAGGGTAGATGTCCTTGGTCATGAGCTTGAACGTCTCGTCTGCGGGCTACCGTCGCAGTGGGAATTTGGGCGTTGAACAGAGCGCTGAGCTCTGAGCCAAGCATGTGTGCATAGTGCGCAAGCTAGTGCTGTAGACATGGTCTCGCATTAGAGACATAAACCCGAGCGCGCATACATCGACTCACTGTTCGCCGGTACCTCGGTGCGTTGGCTTTCTGGGATGCTCATCTACGTGCCTGTCATGACTTCTCGTGCCCAGGTTCTTGAATACTGCTCCCACCACCGAGGCGACCCACCTCCATCAGACGATGCCAACGAAGAGTCTCGCAAGCGCACGACTGACATTTCCGAGTGGGACGCCAAGTTCATTCAAGTCGACCAAGAGATGCTGTTTGAGATCATCCTGGCAGCCAACTACCTCGACATCAAGCCCTTGTTGGATGTGGGATGCAAGACGGTAGCAAACATGATCAAGGGCAAGACTCCGGAGGAGATTCGCAAATTGTTCAACATTCAGAACGACTTTACGCCGGAGGAGGAGGCGCAAATTCGCAAGGAGAACGAGTGGGCAGAGGAGCGCTAGACGAGGAGAGAGGCATGCTTGTGGTGCGACGAGGCCATCACAAGCTATGCGTCGTCTAGAACACGCGATTGCCAGAATTTCGCAAGGGCGAAAGGCCAGCGCCGTCTTTCCCGTCAGATCCCCAGTGTACTCTAACCAGCACGAGACATGCTTCTTCCTTGGCTCCACTCACAAACGAATGCCACGCTCAGCTACAGGCTCGAGTCTCATCATTACTTCCGAGTGTCGCGTATTGTTGCTGTTGTCTCTTCCTGGTGAGTCCGAGAGCCCGAGATGTCGATGATGCGAGGGCGCACGCAAAGTCAGCGGGGATTGTTATATCTGTGATGATCATCCGGTCGGATGGGGGAGAATCTGAAGTTTACGCTAGCCCAGAGCTAGAGTTTGGGACCTTCTCAGTCCAAGTCACCAGACTGGCATTGCAGTCGAACAGTCTGCTTCTCCCTTTCGACCATCAGGCATGGAGTCAGACAGCACGCAAGCAAATGCAGAACCAGTTGAGCATGACTGGTCCTCTAATGCTTTGATCATCTTGCGACATCCCTTGCCCAGAAATTTAGGCAGGAGGAATCTTGGAGCAAGGTATCGCAGCGCAATGTCAATCGCTGCAGTGGTAGCGTGGCTGCGTGCACGCAGAAAGGCTTACTCCACCTAGCTCCCAAAAGGGTGCAAGGCACGCCTCTGGATAATGACGGGCCCAAACTATCCAGAATGGGAATTGAAGGCTCGAAAGGGTCGAAAGTGTCGCGTCTGACCAGACACTGCAGCCCGAGATCCTTGGTCAAGAAGTTGCTGGAACTTTGATGATGATGTACGATTCACATGCGAGGATTCGTCCTCCTGGATTGCAAGTAAGGCATGTGCACGAGCACGCTGACTACGGAACCCTTGCGCATCTCGACTCGACCATGTCTGCTGAGCAGGTCGACTAGCGAGTTGAGGCTGATGCACCGAAAAGCAAATTCAGCGCAGCACGGTGAATGTGATGAAGGCAGCAAGCCCATGCATGCCCGAAGAAGAGGACCTTGCTCACCAGCAGTCGTGAGCCGTGTTTCAGGTCACGAGTGGTGCTACTCAGCGAGCAAGTCCGACTTGCGAGTTGAGTTGAGGCGGGGTCGTGTGGATCAATCCTAGGAGCCCACTCGGCATCGGACGCGCGTCTTTTGATCCACACTCGTGACCTACGACTCCTCCTATCATCATTACCGAATGCTAGAGAGGTGCGGCTGCGCATTCCAAGATTGCGCAGCCGCAGGATGCCCTGCGCTAGGCCACCTACGGGTGCTGTCATCGCCATCGTGTCCTCTTTGGGACAAGGAAATAAAAATACAAGACCCGCTGCACTGCGCGCAATTCCAACTTTCATGCGAGAGGTCTTGCAGCCTTTGGGAAGAAAAGATGTTCGGACGGTGATCGATGCATGCATGGATGAGAGCAGCTCCACGACCCCTTATTTCTGAAGGCACGCATAGCGCCTCTCGAACAGCCGCAGCACTAGCATCACATCTTTTGGTATTCTGACCATACATTCGCTGGTGATCATCTCTTGCGCGTGCCAGAAAGCCTGAGCTCAATTGCCAGCAGCTGTCCAGATGCTGAGCTTCGATTTCCGGCGATCTGCCCGTGAAATGAGCGGAGTGGCAGGGTGGTACCGGTATACCGTAACGTGCCGTACAGTACCTATCGCAAGGCAATCTGCTGTGCATCACGCTCGCGTCCTTGCGATGCAGGGCTGCTGTTCCTGAGGAGCTGTCCATGCTGCATGAAAGTTGGTCCGCCTAGCGCTTCCTGCGGCTGGAAGGCTGCTCAGCAGCTTCCCGTTCGGTTAGCAAGATTATTGTGATTCACATTGTGATTGTGACTCACGACTGTTAGACTGAGACTACTAGTGATGGGTGTCTCCTTGCATGCTGAGGCTTTTTTTGAGACTGGCTAGCATATATGTTGGCGCAGTCATGGGTGTGAATCCGGATGCCAATGCGGCATCGTGGCTCTGTATAGACATGCGGACATGATAAGAACCTCCCGCGCGCGGTCTTCGTTGAAGATCAGGTGCCCCCATCCTCGCAACATCTACTCGTGACTTCTCACCACCACCTGTCACCATTGGGACGAAGAGAAAGGCGAGCTGTGTCTGAGCATCCGTCATGTCGTGTGTCCAGGATGCGGCCTTTGTGAGTTCCCTGGCGTACGAATCAGCAAACGCAACGCTGAAGTGGGCCTTACCGTCGCTTTGTCACAGGGGCCAGTCTCGCAATGTCGATACTTTGACTTTACACTCAGGTTCAGCAACATCATCCTGTCCCTCCTGCCTTCTGCATGCCTCGTCGCCGCTTGCCACTTTCGTCTACCAGCCCTTGCTGCCAAGAAAGATCTAGCGCCTGGAATCGTAGATCCGGTGGGCACTGTGAGAGTAGCAGTCGCGACTCTTCATGCCGTGCTCAACGCTGCAAGTCTGGCACTCGTCGTGGCGCATAATCGACTTTCGACGGCATTGGACTCTCGCACCATCATTCCAGCTGCTTCGCTCAGCTTGGTCGCTGCTGTAAGTCTAGTGAAAAAGATGCACAAAGCAAGAAGGCGGCCGCGCATACACACTTGGCTCAATACTCCTCAATACAATGTGTAGATCGCTGCCATTCCTCTGTCATATCTGGAGCGACGAAAGACGGCTCGTGGAGATGCTCTCCTCCCTTTGTACCTCTTCGGATCATGTCTCTTCGACGCTTGTCGTATTCGCACCTTTGCACACGTCGACGTGGTGCATGGCTCCGCTTTCTTCGCCGTAAGCATAGCTACTGTAGTGGTCAAGGGTTTTATGCTCATCATTGAAAATACGAGCGGTATTCCAGTGAGTGTATCAGCTTTCATGGTGAATCCATGCAGGAGGACAGCATGCGTTGACTAATCAGTCATGCCGATAGTCTCATACCCATCCGGAGGAGAGGGCGAGCTTCGCTTCTAGACTGTTCTTCCTCTGGCTCTATCCTACCATCTGGAAGGGCTATAAATTGTCAAAGACAAGAGGCTTGCAGCTCACCGACCTAGACACACTTGCTCCAGAATACTGCGGCAACTCGCTGCGCATCATCATGGAAGATGCTTGGCAGCCAGCCAGCCCCGCTGCCCTGGAACGACGTCGACAGAGACGTGCCGTCTCTCGGCAGACTGAACTGTTCGAAATCTGGAAGGCGAGGAGCAACGGAAAGAAGAAGAATGACAGCGACTCTTCGCTCGCGATGGAGGACCTGGAGATGAGGGATGTTGAAGAACTTGATGCAGCTCAGACTAGTCTTCCACCTCCACCTCACAATCTGGTCTACGCTCTCGCCATCGGCTTTCCCGTCTCTCTCTTCTTGCCCATCATTCCTCGACTCATTGTGACTGCTGCAACGCTGGCGCAACCCTTCTTGGTCAGCAAGACGCTGGCATTCGCTCAAAGTTCTGGTACCGCTACAGACAGCCCAACAGCCTATGGGTGGGGTCTCGTTGGCGCCTACGCGCTAATCTATCTCGTCCTTGCTACTAGCAACGGGCAATACTATTGGCTTTCTGCAAAGACGATGGTCAAAATGCGCGGTGCATTGATCGAGATCATCTACGCCAAAAGTCTGCGCTTGCACCTGGAGGCCGCAAAGCGAACAGGAGGCGGTAAAGCAGCCAACCTCGTTTCTGTAGATGTCGAGCGCATCGTCAAGTGCGTCGATCCTCTTCACACTCTCTGGTCTGGCTTCATCCTGATCGGAGTCGGCCTCTGGATCTTGTATTCACAGCTCGCGCTGGTGGGCTTTGTGGCTGCTCTTTTTTCCATCTTCATCGCCCTCGCTGTTCCGCCATTCGTCTCATCTATGGGGGAGAACATTGGCCAAAAGCAAGGCGCGTGGAGCAGAGAGACGGACGCTCGAGTCAATCTGGTTTCTTCTGCCATCAAGGACGCCAAAGGCCTCAAATTTGCAGCATACGAAGATGCCATCTCCAAGAGGCTCTTGACTGCTCGTGCCAAAGAGATCGAGAAGGCCAAAGACTATTTGCGCCGCTTAATCCTCGTGGTTTGCGGAACGAATAGCGTAATGAACTTTATGTCCTTCACAATCTTCTCAGCTATCGCCATTGCGGATTCCATCGATGGCGGGCGTCGCTTCAACCTCAATAGTGTTTTCACCTCCCTCACAACGCTAGGCTTGCTAGAAGCTCCACTGCTCCAGCTGGGCCAGCAGTACGCCAGTATTCTCGCCGCTTTTGCTTCTTGCAAACGCATTGAAAGCTTTCTACGCGAAAACGAAAGACCGGAGCGCAGTGGCACTCTCGATCACCGAAGTCAAGACTCTTTGCGTTCTGCAACTCCAGCGTCTGATAGAAAAGACGCTGATCTGTCCGCCTCTTCGATTGAGGTGTTGGAGCCCGTAGACTCCACGGTAGCCGCGCGTTTTGAGCGCGCCACGCTAGGATGGGGTTCCGGCAAGCCGATTCTCATCAACGTCGACCTCAGCATCCCCGCTGGCAAATTGACCATGATTTGCGGGAGGATCTCCAGCGGCAAATCGACATTGCTGGCCGCTTGCTTAGGAGAAGCTGATGTCTTGAGTGGCTCCACCCACCTACCACTTTCAAAAAAACCAGCAGTCTTCTGCTCGCAAGATAGCTGGTTGATGGAGGCGGCCAGCATCCGTGACAACATTGTCTTTGACGGCGTTTGGGACGCCGAAAGGTACGCAACGGCGTTACACGCCTGCGGTCTCGACACGGATCTGCAGCAACTTCCCCAACGGGACCGCACTCCTGCCAAGTCGCTCTCCGGAGGTCAGAGACAGCGTTTGAGCGTTGCCCGGGGTGTTTATGCCGATGCAGACGCATACATACTCGACGATATCACTAGCGCTCTAGATGCCGAGACCGCTGCGCATCTTTGGCGCTCGATCTTGGGCGACAGAGGACTGCTGCGAGGCAAGACGGTCATCATGGCTACCAATGCCATGCACCTCTTGCCTTCTGCTGCCCTTGTCGTTCGTCTCGAAGATGGCAAAGTAGCAGAGGCAGCTCCGTACGAGTCGCTGAGTCTCAAAGGCAAAGCTGCTATCCGTGCAAGCATCGACACGGATCGCCCAACCACAATCGATACGCGAGCTCCTCGGGATGCCAAGAAGACGACCGCCGGAGTAGCCGAGACAGATGAAGACAAGACAGAGGAGATGGCTTCTGGTAGTGTGTCGTGGGGTGTCTATGGTCTCTGGCTCAAAACGATGGGAATTTGGCTATTCGTCATCTCGCAGCTCGGCACCTGGGGCCAAGTCGGAGCAAACATGGGTTGGCCTGTGTGGCTACAGCACTGGGCTAGAGTGGCAGACGCCCAGCCCGATGGTCAGACCTTGCACGGGGCTGAGCTTGGCAAGTACATTATTGTCTTTCTCTCCTTAGCCCTGATTTCGTTCGTAAGCTTGCCCATCGAGCTGCATGCCTTGATGGTGAGGGGTACTGGCAATGCAGGGACAAGGTTGCATCAGATGCAGCTGGCTGGAGTAATGGGAACGAGCTTGGACTTCTTCTCCGTCAATCCCGTCGGCAGGGTCGTCAACCGATTCTCGCAAGATCTCTTTACCATCGATTGGGAGCTCGGTCTTGCTGCTTCTAATCTGTTCGGAAATGGGGGCTTACTAGTTGGCCAAGTGATCGTGCTCTCTGTGCCAGCGCCTTATCTTCTCGCAGTATTTGCTGGCATCACCATCTTCTACGTCTTCCTTCAGCGACTGTACATGCCGGCAAGTAGGCAGCTTCGTCGCCTCGAGATGGCGCAAAAGGGTCCACTCGTCTCCTCGCTTGGCGAGACCACCTCAGAAACGGGCTTAGCAACTTTGCGAGCTCTGGGCAGGCAGGCGACTTTCGAACGCATCATGACCGCACGACTGGACCAAGCACAGAAGCCGTACTACACATTGTGGGCCGTCCGACGTTGGCTGCTCACCAGCTTGAACCTGCTCGCGGGAGTCATCAGCTGTGGTCTTGTGCTCATCGTTGTGCTCCTGCGCGAATCGCAATCAGTGGGATTGCTGGGTGTCGCTCTGGTCCAAGCGACGTTGATCGACCAGAATCTCAATCGTACACTCATCTCGTACACCGAATTCGAGATCGCTGGTGTTGCTCTGGAGCGCATCCGTGCGTTTGCGGACCTGCCTCCTGAGGAAGGCTCAAAGTCGCTCAAGACGGGCCAGTCCCGAAAAGCAATCAAGCCAGCGGATGTTCAGGGCGGTATAAGGGTCAGTAACCTCACAGTCGCATACACTCCCACGTCGCAGCCCGCCTTGCACAACCTCAGTCTGGACATCAAAGCCGGCGAGCGAATCGGAGTGGTAGGCCGAAGCGGGTCCGGCAAGTCGACGCTGTTGCTTGCCCTCTTCCGGATGCTGGACTCGCGTGAGGGTACCATCGAGCTGGACGGACTCGACATCGACTCTGTTACCGCGCGAAGCTTGCGCAATGCTCTTTCCATCATTCCCCAGAATCCTCTCATTTTGGCAGCATCCGTGCGCGATAATTTGGACCCTGAAGGAGAGCACTTGGACGCCGATTTGTGGGACGCATTGGCAAAGACGAAGCTCGATGTGTACGTGCGCTCGCTGTCTCAAGGTCTGCAGACCATGCTCCTTACAAGCGAAGCGACGCTGTCGGCGGGGCAACAGCAGCTTTTCAGTCTTTCGCGAGCTATATTGCGACGACGCAAGGTGCTAGTGCTGGACGAAGCGACCTCTTCCATGGATCCACAAACAGATGCAGAATTTCAAGAAGTGCTGCAAACTTGCTTTAGCCACTGCACCATCATTGCCGTCACTCATCGTCTAGCTACCGTCATTGACTTTGATAGAGTTCTCGTCCTTGGCAACGGCAGAGTGCTGGAGCTCGACACGCCGGACAGATTGCTCGACATTCCGGACGGAGTTTTCAGATCCCTTGCTAAAGAACAAGGCCTTCTTCGCCGTCGTTGACACGGCTACCACGACGGCAAAGCTCGGCTCGGTGTGCGCCTCGCCTCCTATCCATTCCAACACGCGCCTTCCTCCTATGTTGTACCTTGTTCGCACGAGATCGATGAGTGTTCTTTGATCAGATTTTATACGAGACGCCTTTCGTGAGCACTTTGACTACTCTGGCTTGTGCGGGACCGCGTCTTGGCCTCACGACTCATACCAACTAGAAGGAGTCGCGAAATGAGTCTCCTTTCCGACCTGGAACGTCACGTGTACACGAAAGCCGTCTGTTCGTGAAAGGAGCATGGACGTCGCACGCGGAAATGTGACTCGCCCTTCGTCGTAGCTGCTGACTCACGCGGCGAGTTCGCTTCAGCACCGAAGACAGCCGAGCATTCCATCTCAAGAAGTACATTAAGTCCCCAATGAGCCACGATTCACGATCCCTCTATCGAAGCCTATCAGACTTGACATCCTTCGCGAGGCCTTGCAGTCACGACTCGACTCGATGAATTATAGCGCCATGCAGCAGCAGCAAGCATGCTTTGCTCACGAGCGTTCTTTGCACGTACCACACAGCTCCCTCGCGCGTTGGATAGTGGTACACATCAGGTAGACAGTGTGAAGGCAGGCACTCGACCAGTGTTTATCGGACGCGGACGCGGCACTTTTGCCAGCAGTGCGCGCGGATTGTTGCTGCTTTGCTTAATTGATGTCCAGCAGCACAATTTTGAATCACAC